AATCTAATATTACAACATCTAATTGAACTTCAACCTCCTATTTAGACCTTATAAATCCATCCAAAACATAAAAATATTTTACCTGAATAATGTTTTTGTTGCGCCGTTTCTTACTACTAATCTCACTTTGGTTAAACGTTTTATTACAGATAACTTTTGTTTAATAAAATCTGATCCTTTTGTTTTTTGTGTTGAGGACATCGAGACTTAGAGATCTATTCTCAAAAGCAGTTACCATGGTGATCTAAATTCTTTTCCATCATCAGCTTTGGTTTCTCCTTTTTCAGTTTATCCATCCTAAGTTGCTGCTTTATTAAGTCTTGAGTCATGGCATTGTCGTTTAGGACATTACAATTCTTCTATTTTATTTAGACTTAAAAATGATCTTGTAAAACCTCCATTAGTTTTTAAATTTGATTCTTTTAATTTTGAGTCTTGTTTGAAAGGCAAAAACACTAGGCTTCCCTTTTCCGAGTCCTTTTTTTATGTCACTGAGTTATTTTTAATAATATGTTCAGATGTTTAAACTTCTACCTACTCTTTCATTTTCTAATTGTTAATATTATGTTTTATTCCTGACCGAATATTGTCGCTTCCTATGGGTATTCCGCACTGCAAAGAAAATTCCAAGTCCAATATTTTCGTCAGCTTCTATTATTATATATTCACTCAGGTCGGATGCAAAATTAAGCAATTCTAATGCGATGGTGGTGGTGAATGTATCAATTGTAAAGCTGATACCTTTTCTCGAGATATAACATGTACATCAGATGTCCTGTCCTTACACACCACAACGGAATGGTATAGCTGAATGTATGCATAGAACATTATCAATATGGTTCAAGCTTTACTTTTTCAAGTCTCTGCGCCTCCCATTTTTTGTCTATAAGCTCTCAAGACTAACGTATATCTTATTAACTGGCTATCTTTCTCTTCTAATCTGAATTTAATTCTGGTTGAATTTTTTTGTAACAAGCAGCCTACATATGATCATTTGCGGGTACTTCGTTGTACATGTTATGCAAGTATCTTTCCAAAATAATGACACATTGAGTCCTCGTTCCACTAAATGTAAGTTTTCATTGGATAATTAGAGAATCACAAAGCTTATCATTACTTTCATGTTGAGACAAAAGGCAATTATTTCTCGACATAATTTCTGTTAGCATGATTTTTGCTAGGATAAGGATTCGGTTGCTCTCTCA